CAGGTGCCGCCGGCGCCGGGCCCGGTGCGGCCAAGCCGGCCCCGCGCAAGATTGGCGGCGGCGGCATGGTCAAGAAGCCGACGCTCGGCTCGCAGTTCAAGAGCTCGCTCATCAGCCTGATGGCGACCATCGACAGCACCAACGTCCACTACATCCGCTGCATCAAGCCCAACGAGGCTAAGCGGGCGTGGGAGGTGGAGCCGCAGAACGTGCTCGGCCAGCTGCGGGCGTGCGGCGTGCTCGAGACGATCCGCATCTCGTGCGCCGGCTACCCCTCGAGGTGGACCTTCGAGGACTTTGCCCAGCGCTACTACATGCTCGTGTCGTCGGACCGGTGGGACATGTCGGACATTGCCAAGGCCAAGGCGCTCGCCTCGGACATCCTCGCCTCGACCATCGTCGAAAAGGACAAGTACCAGATCGGACTCACCAAGATCTTCTTCCGCGCCGGCATGCTGGCCCAGTTCGAGCAACGCCGCACCGACCGGCTCAACGCCCTCACGACGCTGATCCAGAAGAACCTGCGCAGGCACGTCTACCAGAAGCGCTACCAGACGATGCGGACCAGCTCGATCAAGATCCAGTCGTGGTGGCGCATGCAGCTGGCGATCCGCTACGTGTCCGACCTGCGCCGCAACACGGCGGCCACGACGATCCAGACGGCGTGCCGCGGCTTCCTGGCGCGCCGCCACTACCTCGCCACGCGCGACGCCGTCGTCAAGATCCAGAGCTTGGCGCGCGGGCGGGCGGTGCGCGCCACGTACCGCACGGCCAAGGTCGACTTTGCCGCCACGCGGCTGCAGAGCATGCTGCGCGGCGCGCTGGTGCGGATGCAGTACCACCGCGAGCGCCAGGGCGTCATCCACCTCCAGTCGTGCTACCGCCGCCGGCTGGCCAAAAAGGAGCTGGTGGCGCGCCGTAACGAGGCCAAGTCGGTGTCGCACTTTAAGGAGGTGTCGTACAAGCTCGAGAACAAGGTGGTGGAGCTGACGCAGAACCTGCAGAAGCGCGTCAAGGACAACAAGGAGCTGGCCAGCAAGATCCGGGCGCTCGAGGCGCAGATCCTGACCTGGCAGGGGCGCTACGACGAGCTCGACGGCAAGGCGCGCAGCCTGCAGGAGGAGGTCGACAAGCCGACGGTGGCGCTGGCCGAGTTCGAGGCGCTGCTGGCGGCCAAGCGCGAGCTCGACGCCAAGCAGGAGGGCTCGCTCAAGCGCATCGCCGAGCAGGAGAAGCGGATCGCCGAACTGTCGTCGGAGATCGAGCGGCAGGCCGAGGAGCTCCAGGCGCGCGTCGAGGCGCTCAAGGGCGCCACCAAGACGTCCGAGGAGGACCTGGCGACTATGGCGTCGCTGCGCTCCGAGGTGGCGTCGCTGCGAGAGCAGCTCAACCGCGCCAACGCCCTCAACACGCTGCAGAAGAACTCGCAGCGCATCGAGAACGCGGCGCCGCCCGTCTTCAACATGGCGACGGGCAAGGAGAACGGGTACGCGACGACGGGCAGCAAGCGGCGGCCCCGGCGGCACAGCGAGGCGGGCCCCTGGAGCGACACGCCCATGGGCGGCAAGGACGAGCACGAGGAGGCCATGCTGGCCGCCAAGCGCAGCGCCGCCAACGCCAACCGCCACGTGTCGGTCGCGTTTGGCGCCGACGGCCAGGTGCCCGGCTTCGGCGCCCGCAGCGCCGGCGGCGTCGGCGGCTACGACGACGACTACGACGACGACGACCCGTCTGAGGAAATCATCCGGATCCTCGAAAACGAGGAGCAGCTCGACGAGGACGTGCTCAACGGCCTGATCCGCTTCCTCAAGGTGCCGGCGCCGAGCCTGCAGAACCCGCCGTCGCCCAAGGAGGTCCTCTTCCCCGCCCACCTCATCAGCCTGGTGACCAACGAGATGTGGAAGTACGGGCTGGTGCGCGAGAGCGAGCGCTTCCTGGCCAACGTGATGCAGACGATCCAGCAGCACGTGATGAGCTTCACGGGCGACGACGCCATCGTGCCGGGCATCTTTTGGCTGTCCAACGTGCACGAGATCCTCTCGTTTGTCTGCATCGCCGAGTCGGACATGCTGCAGGGCATCGGCCCGGGCGTCGACGGCGCGGCGCGCTCGTTTGAGTGGGGCGACTACGAGCGGCTGGTGACGATTGTCAAGCACGACCTCGACAGCCTCGAGTACAACATCTACCACACCTGGATGCAGGAGGCCAAGCGCAAGCTGCACAAGATGGTGATCCCGGCGCTCATCGAGAGCCAGTCGCTGCCCGGGTTTGTGACGAGCGAGAACTCGGGCCGCCTCTTTAACCGGCTCCTGTCCAACAACTCGAACCCGGCCTACACCATGGACGACATCCTGGCCATGCTCAACAAGGTGTGGAAGAGCCTCAAAAGCTACTACGTCGAGCCGTCGGTGACGCAGCAGGTCGTCACCGAGCTGCTCAAGCTGATTGGCGTGACGAGCTTCAACGACCTGCTGATGCGCCGCAACTTCTGCTCGTGGAAGCGCGCCATGCAGATCCAGTACAACATTACGCGGATCGAAGAGTGGTGCAAGTCGCACGACATGCCCGAGGGCACGCTGCAGCTCGAGCACCTGATGCAGGCCACCAAGCTGCTCCAGCTGAAAAAGGCGACGCTCGGCGACATCGACATCATCTACGACGTGTGCTGGATGCTGACGCCGACCCAGATCCAGAAGCTCATCTCGCACTACTTTGTCGCCGATTACGAGAACCCCATCTCGCCCGAGATCCTCAAGGCCGTCGCCGCCCGCGTCGTGCCAAACGACCGCAACGACCACCTCCTCCTGCCGCCCGAAGTCGACGAGGCCGGGCCCTACGAGCTGCCGCTGCCGCGCGAGGTGACTGGTGAGTTTACGACCCCAACGTTCCGGGTCGTCCACGTCTCGCCACTTTGCTGACCCGCGTCGCCCCCGCTCCTCCCCGCTCGCCCCTGCCCCTGCCCCTGCGCCTGCCTCGCCCCGACAGGCATCGAGACCTACTGCCCCGCCTACATTTCGGTACCCGCCATCCGTCGCCTGGCGAGCCGTGTCGCATAGAAGATGGACCCGCACCGCGCGCTCGCACAGAAGCCCACACCCTCCCACCCCTTCCTCCGGTCGCGTCATCGTTTCCCCTCTGCGACCGGCCCCACCCGACGTCCTTGTACACGACATACCAAACGACGCCCCAGAGTCTCGCTGTCCTTTGCATGAACGAAGAATGAGAAAGAGTCTATCTATCGATTCATGTCCAGGGAGGTGCGCCTGTCCGATCGACGACCCCACCGCGCTGTGGTGGGGTCAGGGAAGGACGACATCGAGCGGGACCGGCCGGATCGGGAGCGGGCCGATGGAATGCCCAGTGGGCCGGCTTGGCCTGCCTGCCCGAATGGCCTGGCTAGAGAAGGGTGCGGTCCCTGGCCCCGATCGATCTGCCAGGCCAGGCTGGGCCTCCCCGCCGCCGACCTTGCTTGGTCCCTCGCTGCCCGCCACCACCTACCTCGCAGCTGTTCCTGGAGCCACGTCCGTCCATTGGGACATATCACTTTGCGTGCGCGATGGCGGGCGAGCGGGCGTGGTTCGAGACCATCGCTGCGCCCGCCTCCATCCCTGGCCTGGCCAGCCAGCCCCTTTCCTGCTTGGCCCGCCCTCATGTCGGTGGGCGTAGTTCTGATCCACTCACTCGCCCACCCACCCACGTACGCCGGAGTGTGCGCCCCCTGATTTGGTTTGCGAGTCAGACAGCCTGACCTCGCCATGCATCCGCGACACCAGGCTGTGCCAACTCTGGATGGCGGCGTGTACGTGTGCGTCTACCTTGACGAGACGGGAAGGCGCAGCGGATTGACGGGACTGAAGCGCCCGCCGTGGTTGAGCCTCGCTCGGTGGTCGATTCCGAGGCCCAGATCGACGGGACCACCCTCAAGCAAGCCCAAGGCACACCCTACTCGAGTCAGAGCCAAAGGCGAGCGGTTCAGCCTTCACTCTCTCGGGCTGGCCGGCATGCCCGCCCTCCCTCCTGCTTGTTATCGCCCCCCGCCCCTCTGGATAAGCGTACGTATCGTTGGGCGGTTCGGACGGCCTGCGTTCCGATTCTGGCCGCGTCGCGTGATAACGGCCAGGCAGGACCTCGCCATGGACAGATAGACGTACGTACCGCTCGTTGGCGATCGTGACCTGCCATCGTACCACACCGCCTCGCCCGACGGACGAGATCGACGAGCACGCCAGACGACGACAGACGACGACAATCGTCATCCATGGCACCACCGGCCGCCCAATCTGGGAGGCGTCAGCATGCGCCTCGCCAAAGCGGAGAGTGCGGGGTAGATCAGCTGGGCGGGCCTGGCTGAGCATCCACAGAAGCGCCCTCCTGCCTTTGCTTGCTTGGCTTGCTCGCTGTGCATGGCAGGCCAGGCCAGGCCAGACCCACCTGGCCCGAAGTACGCGGGCCGACAGGTGAGCCATGCCTCGCCCAGGGCAGAGAGGGCTAGGCTGGGCTAAGCTAGGCGAGGCTAGGCCGGGTGATCGACGCGCCAGCCTGGAGCGCTGACGCGGCCCCGCGGCCAATTTCGAACCGGAACCCCCAGGTGGAGGCACCGAACGCTGCAGATAGGCAAAGAAAGCAAGCAGCAGCTACATAAGGCAGCCGCTCGAGGTTGGCCCGGATTCTGATTTCTGAATTTCTGCCGGCCCGCAGTCCAGGGCGCAGCGGCCGCAGAGGGGCGCCCCACCAGCTATAGGCCCCAGCGCGCTAGCAGGCGAGAGTCAGGGCGGGCAAGCTAAGGCGCTGGCTGGGCGGCCGGCCAGATTGGCAGGCAGGCAGGCAGGCCAGGCCCAGCAAACTCCGATGCAGCTCCGACTGCTCGGCCTGCACACTTTGGGTTGGCTTGCGTGGCCCCCCCCCTCGCCCCCTCGTCGCCGGCGTCAGAGTCACGCAGGCAGGCAGGCCGGTTGGCTGGCAAGCACAGCCTGGCCTGGCCTGCCAGCTCGCCCGACCCGCTCGCCACCCCCCTTGGCCCAGCGCTGACGACGCCCTTCCGCCCTCGCACTCGGTATAAGATCGAGGCTACCACCTCAGCCACACCCGCCCTTCCTCGCCACCAACGTCCATCTCTACATCGCCGCCGCAAGCAAGCAAGCTCTCACACACTCGTCCTCGCGCTCCGTCCGTTCCCTTCTCGATCGCTGCGCTGTCCCTGCCCTACACCGCCGCCGCCGCCGCCGCCGCCGTTCTCACCACCAGCACCAGAGCAGCAGCAGCCCGCCACCTCTCGCCCGCCGCCCACTCCGTCCTTCGCGCATCTCAGCCACCGAGCCAACGATCCGCCCTATCTCACCTTTCAGCCCCCTCGTCTAGCACGCCAATCGTGAGCATCCAGCTGCCAGCGCCTCGTCCGGTCCTGCTCTCAGCGTCGGTGATGGCACAGTCGACTGACTCTTCCCCCTGAATCCTCTGTTCTCTCCGGCCCACCGCCCTGCTTCGCTCCCGCAGATGCAGATCTTTGTCAAGACCCTCACTGGCAAGACCATCACGCTCGAGGTCGAGTCGTCGGACACGATCGACAACGTCAAGGCCAAGATCCAGGACAAGGAGGGCATCCCTCCGGACCAGCAGCGCCTCATTTTCGCCGGCAAGCAGCTCGAAGACGGGCGGACGCTGAGCGACTACAACATCCAGAAGGAGTCGACGCTCCACCTCGTCCTCCGCCTGCGCGGCGGCGCAAAGAAGCGCTGCCAGAACGGCGCGGGCACCGAGGCCCAGTGCAAGGATGCCGCCATCAACCTCGTCGGCGAGTGCCCGCACTGCTCGCTCAAGTTTTGCGGCAAGCACCGCCTCCCCGAGAGCCACTCGTGCGCCAAGCAGGAGCAGGTCCGCAACGCCGCCTTTGCCGCCAACAAGGCCAAGCTCGAGAGCGAGCGCACCCACGCCACCCGCGGCCTTGCGCATTAGACGGGACCTCGCTGCACCCCGCCCCCTTCCTCGCATCCGCATCGTCTCTCGTTCCGCCTCTCTTCCAACCCCCTCTCGTCAAGGGCATCCCTTAAGGTCTCCCATCTCCATCCCCAACATCGCATCCCAGCCCGCCAGCATCGCATCGATCAGCGGCAACTCTTCGCTCTCGGCATTCATACCTGGTCGACCGCCGCGGCCACGGCTCCTCGGAACCGCCGCGCCGACGGTCGCCCGCCCCTCTCCTTCACTCGCATGTCTCTGCACCCCTCCCACACCCCCTTCCCTCCCCTTCCGCTTCTGCTCCATGCTATTTCAGGCTCCCCCATCGTTCCGGTCTTACCCCTTCTCCCCCATGCTACGCCGAGGTCCCCTTGTTTCCGGTTATGTATCTGCACTCTGCATTCTCCCCTGTACCACAATCACAACAGCAACATTCCAACGTGCAAAGGTCCGTGCCTGGCTTGCTTCGCTCTGGACGGAGGCAGTTAGCCGGCCGGCCGGCCGGTCGGTCGGACGGAGGGGCGGTTGGGCAGGCAGGCACGCAGGCGAGTGAAACCGTGACTTTGGTACAAATACAACGAGGGCTCTCGCTCGTTCTTCCCTCCTCTCCACCACACCAGGCTACTCGTCGACGTATTCGATCTCGTCGACCTCGTCCTCGTCCATGGCTCCCTGCGACGCCGGTTCGGTCTTGGCGACGCGCGCTCCGCCTCTCCTACTGGCCGCCGTACGCACTGGGGGGCCATCATCGTCGTCGTCTTCGTCATCATCATCGTCGTCGTCGTCTTCGTCGTCCTCGTCGACTGCTTCCGCACCGTGTCCGCTCTGATCCCCTTCCATCATTTCTTCGTCTTCGTCTTCGTCCTCCTCCTCCTCGTCGTCGTCATGGCCCGCTCCACGACGTCGGTTGGGCCTTCGACCACTGCGACAGAGCGTCGAGCATGGCGAGAGAGAGAGAGAAAGTAGAGGTGAGTGAGTCGCTCCGTCGGTCGGTCGAGGGTCGGGGCGAGACGCCGGACGTACCTTCCGACGCTGTCCTCTCCGACGGGATGGGCAGTGGCCCAGTTGGCCTGGCATCCGGGACACTCGAGCGTCCCCGCTCGCATCGTCAGGCTCGTTTCGCAGTGGACGTGGATGCGGACGGGGCAGTCTGGGGAGCTGCAAGCCTTTCCCTGCGTCACGACGTCGTGGCACTTTGAGCACTCGAGCAGGTGGTCCGGGAACTCGTTTTTCAGGTAGCCATGCAGCTCGAGCAGCGAGCGCGACGACAGCGCGTACCGGCCGGTCCTGATCAAGCGCGGGTAGACGAAGCGACGGACACGAAAGATTGGAGGGGCCGTCAGTCCCTGCTGGCCTTGCACCGGCACATGCGTCGCGGCGGAAGCTGCGATGCCGTGCTCACCTCGTCTTGACCAGCCACTGGTGCGCGATGAGGTTGTCGAGAAGCTCCTCGCAATTCTTTTTCGACATGGGCGGCTTGATCTCGTTGGAGAGGCGGAGCGCCTGCATCGACGACACGCAGTAGGCCTCGTCCGGTGCGGTGAAGATGGCCTTGATCTGCGGATGAGGATGCAAAGAACGGGCGTCGGTCAGCGAGGCTGTAGCGGGCGCCGGTGCGATCCGCCGGGTCCACTTGCCAGCTTCTTGATGTAGGCCACTTCTGCGTCCTTGTAGCTGGTGGCCACCTTTGCGATCTCGTCTGCCTTTGTGTTGACGAGGGCGAGGACGGGGACGGCGCGGTACTGGTCGACGGTTCTCCGCACCTCGAGGTCGAGCGGGTTGAGGGACGTGGCGAGGGTGTCGAGCAGGTTGGCGAAGTCGTCCCTGTCCGGTTCGACTGCCGGGCAGGGATGCGCACAAGGTCCATCGGTCGACAGGAGAACAGGTCAGCGATCCGTCCCGCCCGTCTTTACTCTGCACGGGGCCATGACGCTCACTGTTGACGGCATGGCAGATGCGGCGGTGGAGCTGCTGGGCGTACTTTTCCGTCATGCACCGGTGCGTGATGAGCGACTGGAGGAAGGCGACGCGAATGAGGCGCGCCTCCTTCTTGGACGGGGCCATCGATGGTGGCTTCGCGGCTTGGAAGCCCTGGTGGTCGTCGCCTTGACCTGCTGCTCGGTCGGTGGACGGGCGAGGTGGGCGCAGTTGGTAGAGCGGGCGGGGCGGGATGGCGGTGAAGGGAGCAGGTGTTGGTTGCAGCCGTTCTTCTTTCGCGTGCTGAGCCTGGCCAGCGCAGGCGGGCCTCAAGGCAGGCCAACTGCGCCAGCAGCACGTACTCAACGCGTCGCGGCCTTTGGCAAGCGGGCGAGTGGAGGTGCTTGACTCGGCCGACTGAGGGATTGGCCTGCTTGCTTCATCAGCCAGGGGTGGGCAGGCCCCTTTCACACGAGCGAGCCATCCCGGATCCCAGACGACGGCTCGCCCCGCCCCCCGCTTGCCCTGCCCTGCCCTGCGCTGCCTGGCCTGGCCTCTCCGGTTTCGGCCATTGCGACCGGCCCATCGGGATGGTCAGCCTGCAAGCCCAAAGGGTCTTTGTGGTTGCCCCTCTCGATGGATCGACGTCGACTGGCGTCGCTGGTGACAGCGAGCGAGGTGCTGCGTCCCCGTGTCGAGAGAATCGCAAGTGACTTGATGTGCTTGCTTGCCACCACCACCACCATCACCATCCCCACCTCTGCTATCCACACAGTCGTCTCGTCCTTGGCGGTTACAGCAGCACCACCAGCAGCCTCTCTCATTCCGCGACTGAACGTGCATCTCGCTCCGCCTCGGAAGTGTTTCCTGGCTCGCCCTCTCCTCGACCCACTTTGCAACTTGCTTTGACCGACACGATGGCCGCCAACAGCCGCCTCAGCAGCATCCAGAACCACCTCTCGGGCCAGGGCGGCGTCAGCCACGCAGGTAGGTCCAGCCGCGTCTCGTACTACTCTCTCTCTCTCGCACTCCCTCGATGGACTGCAGCCATGGACCCGACTGCACCCGCCATCGGCTCGCTGCCGATAGAAGTCAGAGTCTTAGCGCCAGGCGGGCGGCATACCGGTGACGGCCAGCCAGGCCAGCCAGCCCAGTCGATGAGCCGGTCGTCTGAATCGGCCAGACCCGATGGCGCCAGGCTTACCGTGCGAGAGAGAGACTTTCCCCGTTGCGCGCTTTGGCCTTTGCCGTGGCCCCGGGAATCTTGCCGGGGTTGACTGGGGCAGGCGGCGCCCCTGGCCAGGCCAATTCGCCGAAACCGACGTCGGAGCGGCGGACCGACCGCTCTGCACCCACCCTCGCGGCTGGGTCTGGGGCTTGCCCGTCTGCTGGGCTGCCTGGCTGGCCCGTGGGTGGCTGCTGCTGGCACACGGCCAGGCTGGGCAGCTCACCCCATCATCTTGAGCGCTCGCCTGGCCTCTGGGCCCCGTCCAACTCGACTCCACTGCGCCGCTCGCACGCGTCCTCGGCCTCTTTGTTTCTTCTTCCCTCTTAACCGCAGCCCTTGCCCGAGTGCGAGCTAACCAACCCGCCCTTCCTCCCGCTTGCCACCACCACCGCCACCGCCGCCGCCGCACTCTACCCTGCCCCTTCCCCCCACCGCCTCTCCCTGCCTCCGTCACAATGTCTGCCGCTACCGCCACTGCCAACGGTGGCACCTCAGCCCTCGCCGTGTGGAGCCAGGTCCCCCAGGCACCCGAGGATGCGTGAGTACCGTGCCCCCGTCTCCTAGAAGCTGTCGTTGGCGTCCTGCGTTGGTCCACAGCAACGTCTTAACGCTGACCCCAACTCTCGCTGGTCGCACGCACCGTCGCTCACCCGCAGCATCTTCAAGCTCACATACGCCTACAAGGCAGACCAGTACGACCGGAAGGTCAACCTCGGTGTCGGCGCATACCGCGACGACGACGGCAAGCCCTGGGTCCTGCCCTCGGTCAAGCAGGTGAGCCCTTCTTCCACGATGGTGGCAGGCTGCCACGACTACTCGCGGCGATACCGATCCGCAGCGATGCAGAGCCGCACCGACCTTTGCTGACATCACTCGCTCCCCTTGGCTTCCTGCGATGACCTTTCCGCCGCCTTTTTGCGCCACAGGCCCAGACGGCGCTGATCGCAGACGAGTCGGTCGACCACGAGTACCTCTCCATCACCGGTCTGGCCGAGTTCACCTCTTCGGCCGCAAAGCTCATCCTCGGTGGCGACTCGGCCGCCATTGCAGAGAAGCGCGTCGCCTCGGTCCAGACCATCAGCGGGACGGGCGCCAACCACCTCGGCGCCGTCTTCCTCAGCCGCTTCTACGGCTTTGAAAAGTTTGGCGTCGAGAGGCAGATCTACATTTCCAACCCCACCTGGGCCAACCACAAGGCCATCTTCAACAGCGTTGGCATCAAGCCCGTCGACTACCCATACGTGAGTGTCAGCCAGGCGACACTGTCAGAGGCTGCCGCTGAGAGTCGTGGTCCTGGCCGGGATGCCGGAATATGCTTGCTGACGGTCCCCTTGCGCCGCGCGCCTCGGCCCGATCCACGCTCCTCCCTCGCCGCAGTACGACCCAAAGACGATTGCGCTAGACTTCGAGGGCTTCACAAATACTCTGCGGAGCGCCAAGAACCAGAGCATCTTCCTCTTGCACGCCTGCGCCCACAATCCGACCGGCGTCGACCCGACGCCCGAGCAGTGGCAGCAGATCGCCGACATCTTTGTCGAGAAGGGTCACTTTGCCTTCTTCGACTGCGCCTACCAGGGCTTCGCGTCGGGAGACCTCGATCGCGACGCCGGTGCGGTGCGACACTTTGTGGCGCGCAAGTCGATCCCCCTCCTCATCTGCCAGAGCTTTGCCAAAAACGCCGGCCTCTACGGCGAGCGGGTGGGCGCGCTCCACGTCGTCTCGGCCACGCCCGAGCAGAGCGCCGCCGTCCTGTCGCAGCTCGCCGTCATCCAGCGGAGCGAGATTTCCAACCCGCCCGCGTTCGGTGCCCGCGTCGTCAAGATGATTCTCACCGAGCCCAAGCTCTACGCGCAGTGGCAGGCCGACGTCAAGAAGATGGCGGGCCGCATCATCGACATGCGCCAGCGCCTCTTTGACCTCTTGACCAAGCAGCTCAAGACGCCCGGCAACTGGGACCACATCCTCAAGCAGATTGGCATGTTTACATTCCTCGGCCTCGACACGGATCAGTGCAAGCGTCTGCTCGAGGAGGGCCACATCTACCTCACCGCCAACTCGCGCATCAGCATGGCCGGCCTCACGACAAAGAATGTCGAGTACGTCGCCGGCTGGATCGACAAGGTCGTCCGCGAGAAGAAGTGAGGCCCGCCACGGCCCACGGGCGGCGGCCCTTGCTCGAGCGGCATCGTCGGTTCTCTCTCTTCCTCTTTCTCTCGCGCTGCCTCTCTCTCTCGCGCTGTCTGCTCCTGTGTCCTTTCTCCTCTTTTCCCTTTTTTCCCGCGACCACGTTGTCGACGATGCATTCACGATACGACTCCTCACGAGCTTCCTTGGGGTAGCGACGACGTTCGCCGATGATGTGCTCCATTCCGTTTCTGCCCCCATACACGACGTCGAGCGGGCCGGCACCGCCTCACCAACAAAAGGCCAGCGGATCCAGCGTCGATGCGTCCACGACGGCTGCCGCCACGCCATTTGCCGTTGCTCTCGCCTCCTCGTCATCGCCGCCGACGTTGCCTTCCAGCTTGTGCTGGCGTCTGCCCTGCCGTCCTCGTGGACTCGTGTTCTTCGGCCCGGGGCTAGCCGTGCCGCCGCCACTGATCCGCGCGCCGCCCGCCTTCCTCTTCCGCCGTAGCGCCTCGACGCGATCGACGAGCTCAAGACCCCTCTCGCACCGCCGCTCGACCAGCCGAACCAGCGCGGCCGCCTCCTGCACCGACCCGACGGCGTCGTGGGGTATTGCGTCCTTGGCCTGCTTTTTCAGCTTGGCCGTCTTCTCGTCGGCCTCGTACGGGTCGAGGACGAGGTCGATGTCGTCGGACAGCGTCGTCAGCAGCCGCTGCAGGTTGAGCAGAACGCGGCGCGGTGGCAGGTGCTCGACGAGCGTGGCGTCGTCGGGCTCGGACGCATGCGGTTGCGACGAGGCCGGGGCATTGACGTCGTCCCCTTGCTCCTCTTCCCCGCCATCGTCCTCGTCCCCGGCCTCGTCCCCGGCCTCGCCCTCGCCCACCCGGAGGAAGCCTAGCCGATCCGCCCATCCCTTGGCCACGTACCAGGTCAGCCGCCGCAGGTGCGGGAAGCGGAACTTGCGCGGCACCTTTGTCTGCTCCTCGATCTCGACGAGCTTCCACTGCGTCTCGACGTTCCAGTCGGTGAGGAAGTTGCCGCCGACGACGAGGGTGTCGGTGGGCGTGTAGACCGAGTGGAGCCAGCCGCTGGGGATGAGCATCGTCTCGCCGGGCATAATGTCGACGCGGCGGAGGCCCTGGACATGGTCGCCGAGCCAGTCAAAGTCCTGGCGCGTCGAGCTGCACCACGTGCGGTAGGCGGCCAGGTTGTGGGGCGTGGGCGGCGCAAACAGAAACGTCTTTTGGCCGTAGACGACGTGATAGTAGACGCTGCTGCCGGCAAAGTCGACGTGCCAGTCCGAGTAGCCGCCCTCGACGCCCATCAGGACGTAGCGCTGCACCTTTGGCCAGCTGTGCTCGCGGGCGTCGGGCCCTCGCTTGGCGGCGGGCCAGTCGCGCGTGACCCAATCGACGTCGCGCACCAGCTGCGGCGCCTCGACGAGCCGCTCCATGGGCGTGCCCGTCACCTCGAGGCTGATGACGTTGAGCACCTTTTTCCTCCGCTCCTTTGGTAGGGCGCAGTAGTCGGCCCACGCCGACAGCGTCCACGCCTTGGACGACGACTGCGTGGCCACATCAATGACCTCGACGGGCGTATCGGGCCCGATCAACCCGGCGATGTCGGCGATGGTCATCGACGACGGCGGCACCAGCATGCCGGGGATCGAGGTGGTCTCGGGCTCGAAGATGATCGAAGATGACGAGGGCGTCGTCGGCCGCCCTTCTGCCGACGACTTCGAGGTCGTCGGTGATGCTGCTGTCCTCTCAGGCTTGACGGAGCTGCCGCCGGTGCCATGAGCATGACTCCTGCCCTTGGCCGGTTGCGACGATGCTACTGTAGAGGCGCGATGCCGCGCCGGTACCAGCACGGGCTCGCTGAGGGCCTTGTCGTCGCGGAGCAGCCAGTCGATTGTCCATTCGGAGCCTTTCATCCTGCGGAAGCGGTCGGGCATGACGTCGGCGTTGTCGAGCAGCCGGCGCCACCTGCCAATAGGGTCGGCAGGCATGCCCTCCTGGATGGCGGCGTAGTCGACCTCGAGGCGAGCTCTCTTGCTCTTCCGTGGCGGCGGCCGCTCGACGTTGCGCAGCTGCTTGGAAGCGTCGGCGTGGATGGCGACGCTGGCGGCGATGCACGGCGGGCAGTACCACTTGGCATAGTCCTGCGGGTTGGGCAGGCGGACGCAGATGCAGTGGAACCACTGCTTGCAGTGCGAGCAGCTCACCCACGTCTCGCGGTCCGCTGTGGCGCCAGGGCCCGGAGTGGGAGGGGCGGCGCCGGGGGGCGGACAGGCGAGGCAGTCGAGCTCGGATTCATCAACCGACTCGTCTCGCTGCCGCCGTGGCGTCCGCTTCGGTTTGGTGGCGGGGGCGACGGCAGCTTTGCTGGAAGTAACGCTGGCTTTGCCGGTGGATGAGGTCGAGCCGGGTGGAGATGGAGGCAGCGAAGCGGCATCGATGGCGGCGGCGGCGCTGCTGGACCTGCGTTTGCGCGGCGATGAGCGCAGCGCCGACATTGTCCAAGGCGTGCGGTGCGCGGCGGTGCGGCCAAGGCGAGGGGTCGTTTCGACTCTGAAGGGCGGAGGGGGGAAAGCGAAAGAGGTGAGTTTGGTGTCGTGGCGGGTCGCAAGCAAGGATCGAGGGGGAGAGCAGTAGTTGGCGGTGATGGTGGAGAGCCGCCAAGCCGAGGAGCGGCTGCGAGGGCTCAAGAAGAGGCCGAGAGAGCTCTAAAGGCCGCCCGCTCGCCCATCCGCCCGCCCGCTGCCTGCCCGCAGAACGTCGAAAAAAGGGTTGCGGGCGCGCGAGCAGGCGGGCATGTCTGACCCCAGCTAGCCGCCCCAGGGTCCCTGCGCGCGCCCACCCGCAGCGCAGCAACTCGCTCGGCGAGCTTGCTTCTCACACAGCCGGCGGACAGCCCCAGGTGGGGCCCTGGCCTTACCTTCGTTGCTTCCCGACCACCACCGGCCACCGCCATCATGGCCACGAGACTGGAATCAGGACTCGAATTCCCCGCCACGAAGCAGCAGTCGACGATGCAGACGGCCCGGCCAGCTACCGGCACGCACGCCAGCCACGTCGTCTCACCATCGTTCGTCGGTTGATTAGAGGTCGCCAACTGGATATCGTACAGTGAATGGATTGGCTCGACGATGCTGCCGCCGCCGCCACCGCCGCCACCGCCGTCGTCTCGTCTCAGGCCGCATAGGACCGGCTGCGGAAGACGGCGTGCGTCTTGGCGCTCAGTGCCGCTCCAATCTTCTTGCGCTGCTCGGGCGGGTTGACGCGGCTCGAGAGCAACGTCGCTCCTGCCGCCGTCGCCGCATCGTGACCGCCAGCGCCAGCTCCTTTGCCGCTCCGTTTGCTTCCCGCGCCGCCTTTGGATCCCCTTTGACCGCCACCGCCGCCACCGGCACCACCGTCGCCGCCTGCATCGCTGCTGCCCGCTCCGCTCTCGATGGCCTCGTAGGCCTCCCACAGCTCGCGCGGCGTCTGCCACAGCTCGAGGACCTCGCGCACCTTTTCGGCGCTCATGCCGCGCACGCAGAGCAGCATCTTGCCAAACACATCGCGCAGCGTCAGGCTGGCGCTCTTGCCGTTGAGCGACTGGTACGCCGCAAACGTCGTCAGGTAGGTGACGTCGGGCCGCGCGGCGCGCAGCTCGCCCTGCAGCTGCGTGTACGTCGAGCGCGACACGACGGCGTCCGGCAGGATCGTCAGCTCCGCCTCGCCGTACATTTCGCGCACGATGCGGTCCATGCGCGCCAGGTGGTCGATCGAGGCGTCGAGCCCGGCGGTGCGCTCGACAAAGAAGCCGTCGACCACCTGCGTGCTGCTCAGCGCCGTCTGGATCTGCTCCCCGAACCGCCGCATCTGGTTGTCGACGTCGTAGTCCTCGATCAGGTAGACGACCTGGCTCAGGCCGGACGACGACAGGCGGAACTTTTGGTCCTTCCACCGCCCGTCGAGGATGCTGCTGGTCAGGTCATCGAGCCGCTTGCGCTCCACGACAAAGTCGAGCACCACCTCGTCGCCCTCGGCGCCGCCGCCGCCCTTGCGCCGTGCGATCCAGATGGCGTCGCCCAGCTCCAGCGCACGCACCTCGACCGCGACGCCCTTGGCCTCGAGCGCGCCGGCCAGCGACACTTTGCCGCGCACGTCGCGCGAGTGCCGCCTCTCGCGGTTGTCGAGGATAAAGTGGATGGTGAACGAGCCCCGCGGCATCTTGATCGGATCGAACGCCGGGATCGCCGGCGGAGCACCCTTGGTCGGGGCCAGCAAGCTCTCTTCCGCCGCCACAGTCACCTCGTCCGGCTCGGCCAGCTGCACGTCGGCAACGAGGCCGCCGGCATCGCCGTCAGCGTCGCTGTCGTCGTCGCCGTTGCTCTCTTGGTTGCCGCTAGCCTTGGGCTGGAGCTCTGGTGCCGTTGTCGACTCGCTGCCGCTTCCGCTTCCGCCGACGCTTCCGGGCGTGACGCTCTGGTTGCTGCTCGTGCGAGGCGGCGGAAGCAGGCGGCTGTGCCAGCTTGACTCTGCGCCCGGCGCAGGGATGATACTCGAAAGTCGCGGCACGCGCCGTTGTGGGCCCATCTTGCTGGTCCCCGCTGCGCTGGCCTTGCCCTCGACCAGCCTGGCCAGCTCGGCCTCGATGTCGTCGTCCGACAAGGTCTCTTCGAAGCGCGCGGCGACCGGGCGGTCGGACTCCACAGCATGGCCAGAGGCGGGCTTGGTCGTAGGCCGAGGGGCCACATCGGGGGCCGGGTCGAGGACGGGATAAGAGGCAGGCTTCGGGACTGGATCGGTCGAGCCTTTCAGCCCCGGCGCCACTGGATCGGCCTTGGCCTCTCTGAGGTAGCCCGTGAGCATGTCGTCCGCGCTCTCGTCCTCCTCGATCAGCTCGACGAAGTGGGCGGCAGTCTCGTGGCCGCTCATGCTGCGCGGAAAGCGGATCCGGTAGCACGTCTCGGCGCCCGATCGGCTTGGCCGCTGAGCGGCGTCGGAGCGCGACAGGACCAATCTCGACGCCTCTCCGTCGAGCAGGTATGCGTAGCGGAAAGCGGGCGGCCCCGACGAGCGAGTCGGGGGGCCGGCCTCGTCCGCCGAAGCTGCGGCGCTGCGTCGAGCTGGTGCGAGCCTCGATGGACCGGGCTTGGGCGGCGGCGCCTCGTCGATGAGGATGCTGCTGCTGTCGCCGCGGCCCGCGCCATCCGCCTGCTTGACGCCGGCTTCGTGGGCCATGGTTGCTGCGACCGTGAACCCCTGCTCGCTCAGGCAGAACTTGGGCGGGTTGCCCGTCTGGTAGACGTAGCCCTTTGTGATGAGCGTCTTCATGCTGTTCCAGGCGCTGTAGTACGACTTTGGCGCCGTCCGGCTCGAGGGGGCCTGGGACGAGTGGGGCAGGGCGATGGATGCGCTGATGACGGAGCGGCTGCCGCCGCCGCCGCCGTTGACGTAGTCCGAGTCCGAGTAGGGCTGCGACGCCTGGATCAGCTCGTCCTTGCTGAGGTAGACTTCCTCGCCGCCGACACCGCTGTGCGTCCTGGAGAAGAGGCCCAGCATGAGGCCGTAGGCGCCGGAGCGCAGCTGCGGGACGTAGGCCTTCTTTGACGGCGCGCGAGGCTTCTTCGCAGCTGCCTTTGGCTTGGCTGCGTTGGACCTCTTTGTCCCAGCCGCGGCTGCTCCTGCTCCATCGCCGTCGCCGTTGGAGCTGCTGTCGTCGTCATCGTCGTCGTCGTCGTCGCCATCGTCGCCGGCGCCACCGTCCCTGCCTTGGTCGCCGTCGTCGCCGCCATTGACCGCCTGCTGCGCACCCCTTCCGTCGGCCTTGGATGTCGTCTTGGTGGCCTTGGAGGTGGCAGCGGCCTTGGCGGTCTTCCTGGCGGACCCGCCGGCGGAAACAGTAGCTGCTCTCATGGATCGACGAGAGGAGCAAGCCGCACAAGAGTGGAACAGGTGAGCGTCTCGGTCGAACGGGCGAAATCTCTGGCGATGTCGCCGCACTCACGCCTCTCTGGCATCGTCTCGCCATTCTCGTCGCACCACTTCTGGAGCTCCTGCTCGAGCCTCGAGGCAATCGTCGGACCGATGCCGACCAGCTGTGTCGTCTGGCACGGATGCTGAAACGGGATCGGACATGCCGCCAGCGAGCGGTAGGCCTTGTTAAACGTCTGCGCCGCCTTGGATCCCCTCTCGCGCGCCTCGTCGCGCCAAGCGCCGATAAAGGTCAACCACAGCGCATTGCTCGGCGGCACGGCCGGCGTCGGCGCCATCGTCTCCGAGAGCTGGACGGGACGATGTCGCTTCCACGGAAGGTCCGAAATGCGCTATCAATCCGCGAGGCTGTGGCGGTGCGGCGGTCCCGAGGCCGTCGGCTGCAGTGCCGATGCGTTGGTCGAAAGCAAGCAAAGCAAGGATGTCGGCGGGTAACGTCGCCTAGCGGTTGTTCATGTCAGGTGGAGAGCAGCTCGAGGTCGCCTCTCTGTCCAAGCTCAAGCCTCAACCCTTGTTTGCTCTTCGATGGCGGGCGAACGGCGAGCGGGTGCGATGGGCGAGGCTGGGTGTCGGTGGCGGCGGCCAGAGGTGGTACGGCGGTGTTGGTGTCTCTGTGCCTCGCGGGTCGCGGGCTGCCTCCACCCTCCAAAAACACGGGCGGCCCGTCGGCGAGCGAGCCAGGGTACTCACGCCCTCAACCCGATTTCCTTCCAAGATCGTTGGAGCCCGCCCGATTCTCACTCACCCGATTCTGCCCAACTCGGTTTGCCCCCCCCGCGCGGCCGCTTGCTCGCTCGTCTGGCCAAAGCAAGGAAACAAAGGACCGGCGAGCAGCGGCTGGCTTCCGGCCCAGGCTGGACCCTGGATTTCGGGCTTGCCGCGCTTGCCTTTTTGCCCCAACGGAGCCCGCCCCAACATGCACGCATTTCGATCTTGCTCCGGCGTCAAACATCCACATACATCGATGCTGCCTCCTGGCCGTTCCGCTGCTCAGCACGTTCGGACCAGGCCGCCTCGAAATCAAGCTGCTGCTGATTGCATCTGCTGTATGGGCTCACGACACGACCATGATTCTCTTGCAGAGAGCACGGTATCAGACGGTGCGATGACGGCCACCGCAGAGACGGGAGGCACCCGACGAACGACGGCGGCGGCGCCGGATGCGTCAGGCTACGATGGCACCCCGGTGCCTACCCGCCATGTGCGCCGGCTGGCTTGACGGGAAGAACGAGGCGAGGCGAGACAGGCTGGTTTGGCCGCCTGGACCGAAGAGCACCGACCACCGTATCAGCCACCGACCACCACCGGGTCGCCGCGGCTTTCCCCAACACCACGCACGCAGGGACAGACGCTGGCAGGGCAAGCGGCCCCCCCACCCGGCCGACGACCTGCTGGCGAGCGGTCGATAAGGCACGCACGGCGACGAGCGAGGGTCGATGGATCCCATCAAGCAGGCTGGGCGACCAAAAGCCGGCGCAACGGGCAGCACGCACGCCCGAACCTACGGTAGCCCTGCTGGCCTGTTGCCGCCGCTGGCTTCCAAAGGTCGAGCCCAGCTGGACGGACCATGACACTCTGTGGTGATCCGCCAGCGAAGGTGTTCTGGCTTCGACCTGCTTCTGTGCTCGTCTTCGAACGCCTCGCTGCCGACACATGATGAGATTTCGAGAGGAATCAAAGGTTGATCGATGGTGGCTCCATCATGCTACTTAGGGCGACGGCGAGGGCGACGGTAGCTGCTCTTCGACGGGCCGCATCCGAAGCTCGAAAAAAGGTGCGAGGCCGTCGTCGTCGTCGTCGTCGTCGTCGTCGCCTCCTACTTCTTTTCGGGAGCGCCTTGCTTTCGATTCGCTCCTCATCGACATGCTCCTGGCATCTCATGGAAGCCAGCTTCATACGTGCCGCCTCTCACCGTCGCCTGCCGTCGATCGCAGGCACAGTCCGACTACATAACCACAAGGCTCCGCAGGCGCTTGAGACGATACGAAGAGCGCGGGACGCCGTCGGGCGCGTTTCGCAACCGGGCGCGGTATGCGCCATGCCCGAGGCTGGACGGGCGGGCGTGGCGGGCTGGCGGGCTGGCGGCCGTCCGAGGGAGTTGCTTTCTTCCGTTTTTGCGTCGGTCTTGCGTCAAGGCCTCGCGTTGGCCACGACGGCTGGCCTGTGCGGGCGACCCGGCTGCCCACGCCGGCCTCCACAAGGGCTGGCGAGCCCCATCCAAAACCTTGGGCAAGGGTCGGCCCTCGCCCGCGGGCCTTGGCCAAGCCCAGCCGCGAACTTTTTTTTTTTTTTTTGGTGGCTGGTTTTGGGTAGCACACGAGCCACCCTGCCTCTTGGCCCAACGCAGGGCGGTCTCTGGATCCTCTGGGCCCCGCCTGCAGACAAGCAGGCCGGCCCAGCCAGAGGGACGGCGGGCCCACCGCCGATGTCGCCGGAGCTGGCTGCCCGCCGCCGCTTCTGACAACCCCAAACAGGGCGCGGGGCCAGCTGTGACCCTAGCCCGCCTGTCTGCCTGCCTGCCTGGGAGCAGCACGAGTCCGGCTTCGGCTGTGGTGGGCGACGAGGCCCAGCAGCAGGCGCCGAGATGGGGCTGCGATGCATGGCGGCTGGTGATGGCATCGAGAAGACGCAGGGCAGAATTACGCCCGCCATTGCCATCCTCGACCGGGATCGCGGCAGGTTGGCAAGGGAGAGCGAGGTAGATATAGGCGGCCGCCCCCACCATCGCCCCTCGAGCTCGCGCCCGACGCCCCTCCTCTTCCTCGTCTCTCTCGCCCCTCATCTCCTCCTCCTTCCACCACCAACACCTGCTGGACCCTCGCCCTTGCCCCCTACTCTCCTGGCACCGCGACCTCCGACGACATCCTCCTCCTCGACTGTCGCAACCCTCCACTCGACTCTAGCGTACTCGCTCCGCCAAGGTTTCCCTCGACCTTGCTAGACTAGTACCGACGACCCAGCACGCAAGGCCAGGCCGACTCCTGACGACGTCCATCCCCTCCTCTGGACGCTCCGAAGCGTCGCCAGCTTGACCATCGTCTCGCCAGCTTCACCTACCCCCTTTTGCCGTTTCAGCAGCAGCAGCGGCAGCAGCAGCAGGAGCAGCAGCACGCGCACCCGCCCTCTTATCCCTGCAGCGAAGCCGTCGCCTCTCGTCGCAGACCGCTTGCTCGCAGCTAGCCTCCTATTTGTTCGGCCCCTCTCCCGCCGCATAGACCTCCCGAGCTTCTTCCGGACGCTCGAAACATCGCCTTCCGCTAGATCTTCTTCGCAGGCAAGCCCGAATAGACTCGCCCAGCATGCCGATTCCGGATCACAAGGCAGTCGCCCACTTCATTGGTGAGTCGGAGGTTTGCGAGCACGCGGGCTGCTGCAACGCATCGCCGTCTCCGCTCGCTGACCCAGCCTCGAGCGGTGCTCTTCTCCCCTTCTCGACTGGCAGGCGGCAACCCGCTCGAGACGGCGCCCGCCGGAGTGGTGGCCGACTTTATCCGCAAGCAGGGCGGTCACAGCGTCATCACCAAGGTGCTCATCTGCAACAACGGTATCGCCGCCGTCAAGGAGATCCGTTCGATCCGCAAGTGGGCCTACGAGACCTTCGGCCATGAGCGGGCCATCGAGTTCACCGTCATGGCGACGCCCGAGGACCTCAAAGTCAATGCCGACTACATCCGCATGGCCGACCAGTACGTCGAGGTCCCCGGCGGCTCCAACAACAACAACTACGCCAACGTCGACCTCATCGTCGACATTGCCGAGCGTGCCGGCGTCCACGCCGTGTGGGCCGGCTGGGGCCACGCCTCCGAGAACCCGCGGTTGCCCGAGATGCTGGCCGCGTCGAAGCAGCGGATCATCTTCATCGGGCCTCCCGGCTCGGCCATGCGCTCGCTCGGAGACAAGATCTCGTCGACGATTGTGGCCCAGCACGCCGACGTGCCGTGCATGCCCTGGTCGGGCACGGGCATCAAGGAGACGATGATGAGCGAGCAGGGCTTCCTCACCGTCTCGGACGAGGTGTACCAGAAGGCGTGCATCCACACGGCCGAGGAGGGCCTGGAAAAGGCCGAGGTGATCGGCTTCCCCGTCATGATCAAGGCGTCCGAGGGCGGCGGAGGCAAGGGTATCCGCATGTGCAGCAACGCCGAGGACTTCAAGCAGCTCTACAACGCCGTGCTCGGCGAGGTCCCCGGCTCGCCCGTCTTTGTCATGAAGCTCGCCGGCAAGGCGCGCCACCTCGAGGTCCAGCTGCTGGCCGACCAGTACGGCAACGCCATCAGCATCTTCGGCCGTGACTGCTCCGTCCAGCGCCGCCACCAGAAGATCATCGAGGAGGCTCCCGTCACCATCGCCCCCGACGCAGCGCGCGAGGAGATGGAGAAGGCCGCCGTCCGCCTGGCCAAGCTCGTCGGCTACGTGTCGGCGGGCACCGTCGAGTGGCTCTACTCGCCCGAGAACAACGAGTTCTCGTTCCTCGAGCTCAACCCGCGTCTCCAGGTCGAGCACCCGACGACCGAGATGGTCTCGGGCGTCAACATCCCCGCCGCCCAGCTCCAGGTGGCCATGGGCATCCCGCTCTACTCGATCCGCGACATCCGCACCCTCTACGGCATGGACCCGCGCGGCAACGAGGTCATCGACTTTGACTTTGCCGACCCGGAGAGCGTCAAGACGCAGCGCAAGCCGCAGCCCAAGGGCCACGTCGTCGCCTGCCGCATCACGGCCGAGAACCCGGACACGGGCTTCAAGCCGGGCATGGGTGCCCTGACCGAGCTCAACTTCCGCTCCAGCACCTCGACCTGGGGCTACTTCAGTGTCGGCACCAGCGGCGCGCTGCACGAGTACGCCGACTCGCAGTTCGGCCACATCTTTGCCTACGGCGCCGACCGCTCCGAGGCGCGCAAGCAGATGGTCATCTCGCTCAAGGAGCTCTCGATCCGCGGCGACTTCCGCACCACGGTCGAGTACCTCATCAAGCTGCTCGAGACCGACGCGTTCGAGTCCAACACGATCACCACCGGCTGGCTCGACGGACTGATCCAGGACCGCCTCACCGCCGAGAGGCCGCCCTCCGACCTGGCCATCGTCTGCGGCGCCGCCGTCAAGGCCCACCTGCTGGCGCGCGAGTGCGAGGACGAGTTCAAGCGCATCCTCAACAAGGGACAGGTGCCGCCGCGCGACACGATCAAGACGGTCTTCTCGATCGACTTCATCTACGAGAATGTCAAGTACAACTTCACCGCCACCCGCAGCTCCAAGTCGGCGTGGACGCTCTACCTCAACGGCGGCCGCACCCTGGTCGAGCTGCGGCCCCTGACCGACGGCGGTCTGCTGGTGGGCCTGGCGGGCAAGTCGCACCCGGTCTACTGGCGCGAGGAGGTGGGCATGACTCGCCTCATGGTCGACTCCAAGACGTGCCTGATTGAGCAGGAGAACGACCCCACCCAGATCCGCAGCCCGTCGCCCGGTAAGCTGGTCCGCTTCCTTGTCGAGAGCGGCGATCACGTCAAGTCTGGCCAGGCCATCGCCGAGATCGAGGTCATGAAGATGTACCTGCCCCTCGTCGCCGCCGAGGACGGCATCGTGTCGTTTGTCAAGACGCCCGGCGTCGCCCTCAGCCCCGGCGACATCATCGGCATCCTCTCGCTCGACGACCCCAGCCGCGTCCAGCACGCCAAGCCCTTCGGCGGCCAGCTGCCCGACTTTGGCCTGCCCGTCATCGTCGGCAGCAAGCCGCACCAGCGCTTCGCCTATCTCGTCTCCATCCTCGGCGACATCCTCGACGGCTACGACCAGAGCCCCGTGATGCAGGCCACCATCAAGGAGCTCATCGAGGTGCTGCGCAACCCGGAGCTGCCCTACGGGCAGTGCACCCAGATCCTCTCGAGTCTCTCGGGCCGTATCCCGTCGCGCCTCGAGGACCTCCTCCGCAACGCTCTCGAGCTCGGACAGTCCAAGGGCGCCGAGTTCCCCGCGGTGCGCATGCGCAAGCTGACCGAGAACTTCCTGCGCGACAGCGTCGACGCGGCCATCCGCGGCCAGGTGCAGGCCACTGTGGCGCCGCTGACGCAGCTCTTTGAGGCCTACGCCGGCGGCCTCAAGGGCCACGAGGCCAACGTGCTGGCGGCGCTCCTCAACAAGTACTTTGACGTCGAGTCGCTCTTCACCGGCGAGGCCGACGTCATCCTCGAGATGCGCCTCCAGGCCGACGGCAACCTCGACAAGGTCGTCGAGCTGCAGACGTCGCGCAACGGTGTCAACCGCAAGAATGCGCTGCTGCTGACGCTGCTCGACAAGCACATCAAGCGCACCGCCCTCGTCTCGCGCACCACGGGCCCCAAGATGGGCGAGGCGCTCAAGAACCTCGCCAGCCTGCAGGGCAAGTCGGTGGCGCCCGTGGCGCTCAAGGCGCGCGAGGTGTCGCTCGACGCCGACATGCCCAGTCTCGGCGACCGCACCGCCCAGATGGAGTCGATTCTCAAGCTCTCGGTCACCTCGTCGACCTACGGCGGCGACTCGGACTACCACTCGCCCTCGCTCGAGGTGCTCCGCGAGCTCAGCGACAGCCAGTACTCGGTCTACGATGTCCTCCACTCCTTCTTTGGCCACCGCGAGCACCACCTCGCCTTTGCCGCGCTCTGCACCTACGTCATCCGCGCCTACCGCGCCTACGAGGTCATCAAGTTCGACTACGCCGTCGAGGAGTTTGACATCGAGGAGCGCGCCGTGCTCAGCTGGGACTTCCAGCTGCCCAGCCGCGCCCGCTCGGTCGAGGACCAGCGCCAGCTGTCGATCAGCGACCTCAACATGATGGCCAAAAAGTCGCGCGAGGACGACGAGCTGCGCAGGGGCGTCATGACCAGCTGCAGCACCGTCGAGGACATCCCCGACGTCCTGAGCAAGGTGCTCAAGTACTACGGCCGCTCGCGCGACGGCGCCGCCGCCATCAACGTGCTCAACATCGCCGTCTCGGACACGACGGGCGCCCAGGACACCGACATCCGCGCCAACCTGGTCCAGCACACCAACACCTTCGCCCGCCAGCTCGCCGCCGCCCGCGTCCGCCGCGTCACCTACCTCCTCTGCCAGCCTGGCATGTACCCCTACTTTGCCACGCTCCGCCCCGACGACGCCGGCGTGTGGGCCGAGGTCAAGGCGATCCGCAACATCGAGCCGGCCCTCGCCTACCAGCTCGAGCTGGACCGCTTCAGCCAGAACTTTGAGATCACGCCGGTGCCCGTGTCGTCGTCGACGATCCACCTCTACTTTGCCCGCGGCATCCAGAACCCGGCCGACACGCGCTTCTTTGTCCGCTCCCTCGTCCGCCCGGGCCGCGTGCAGGGCGACATGGCCGCCTACCTCATCTCCGAGTCGGACCGCATCGTCAACGACATCCTCAACGTCATCGAGGTCGCCCTCGGCCAGCCCGAGTACCGCAACGCCGACGCCTCTCACATCTTCATGTCGTTCATCTACCAGCTCGACGTCAGCCTCGAGGACGTCCAGAAGGCGCTCGCCGGCTTCATCGAGCGCCACGGCACGCGCTTCTTCCGCCTGCGCATCACAGGCGCCGAGATCCGCATCATCCTCAAGAAGCGCAACGGCGAGTCGTGGCCGATCCGCGCCTTTATCACCAACGAGACCGGCCTCGTGGTGCGCTACGAGGCCTACGAGGAGGTCGCTGCCGACGACGGCTCGAGCATCCTCAGGGCCATCGAGCCCCAGGGCAGCGCCGCCCCGCTCCACGGCCAGAGCACCCACTTCCCCTACGCCACCAAGGTGGCGCTCCAGTCGCGCCGCTCGCGCGCCCACGCCCTCCAGACGACGTTCGCCTACGACTTCATCGACGTGCTGCGCCAGGCGCTGCGCGCGTCGTGGGCCAAGGTCAACGCGGCCAAGACGCCCGCCGAGGTGCTCGCCTCGGTGTCCGAGCTGGTGCTCGACGACGGCGGCAAGCTCAAGGAGGTCAAGCGGCCCGCCGGCACCAACACCATCGGCATGGTCGCCTGGATCATTGAGGCCCTCACTCCCGAGTACCCCGCCGGCCGCAAGATGGTCCTGATTGCCAACGACGTCACCGTCCAGGCCGGCTCGTTCGGCCCCGTCGAGGACCGCCTGTTTGCTGCCGCCACCAAGCTGGCGCGCGAGCTGGGCGTGCCCAGGCTCTACGTCTCGGCCAACAGCGGTGCCCGCATCGGTCTGGCCACCGAGGCGCTCGACCTGTTCAAGGCCAAGTTCGTCGGTGACGACGCCACCAAGGGCTTCGAGTACCTCTACCTCGACGACGCGGCCAAGGCGTCAATCGACGCCACGGCGCCCAACAGCGTCCTCACCAAGGCCGTCGTCGCCGCCGACGGGACCACCCACCACCAGATCACCGACATCATCGGCCTCTCGCAGGACGGCCTCGGCGTCGAGTGCCTCTCGGGCTCCGGCCTCATTGCCGGCGAGACGAGCCGTGCCCGCGACGAGATCTTCACTGCCACCATCGTCACTGGCCGCAGCGTCGGCATCGGCGCCTACCTGGCGCGCCTCGGCGAGCGCGTGATCCAGGTCGAGGGATCGCCCATGATCCTGACGGGATACCAGGCGCTCAACAAGCTGCTCGGCCGCGAGGTATACACGTCCAACCTCCAGCTCGGCGGACCGCAGATCATGTACAAGAACGGCGTGTCGCACATGACGGCGCGCAACGACCTCGACGCGGTCAAGTCGTTTGTCAACTGGATGTCGTTCGTGCCCGCCCAGCGCGGTGCCGCCGTTCCCATCATGCCCACCGCCGACACCTGGGACCGCGCCGTCACCTACTCGCCGCCGCGTGGACCCTACGACCCGCGCTTCCTGCTCGACGGCAAGGTCGACGAGGAGGACGGCTCGTACCTCAGCGGCCTCTTCGACAAGGGCAGCTTCGTCGAGACTCTCGGCGGCTGGGCCACGTCGGTCGTCACGGGCCGCGCCCGCCTCGGCGGCATCCCCGTCGGTGTCATTGCCGTCGAGACGCGCACCCTGGAGCGCGTCGTGCCCGCCGACCCGGCCAACCCCAACTCGACCGAGCAGCGCATCATGGAGGCCGGCCAAGTCTGGTACCCCAACTCGGCCTACAAGACGGCGCAGGCCATCTGGGACTTTGACCGCGAGGGCCTGCCGCTGATGATTCTCGCCAACTGGCGTGGCTTCTCTGGCGGCCAGCAGGACATGTACGACGAGGTTCTCAAGCAGGGCAGCAAGATTGTCGACGGCCTCTCGTCGTACAAGCAGCCCGTCTTTGTCCACATCCCGCCGATGGGCGAGCTCCGCGGCGGCTCCTGGGTCGTCGTCGACTCGGCCATCAACGACAACGGCATGATTGAGATGTCGGCCGACGTCAACAGCGCGCGCGGAGGCGTCCTTGAGGCTTCGGGACTGATCGAGATCAAGTACCGCGCCGACAAGCAGCGCGCCACCATGGAGCGACTCGACCCCACCTACGCGCAGCTGGCCAAGGCGGCCAAGGCGGCCACGGACCCGGCCGAGCAGGCCGCGGCGAGGAAGCAGCTGGCCGAGCGCGAGAAGCAGCTCTCGCCCATCTTTACCGCCATCGCCACCGAGTACGCCGACGCCCACGACCGTGCCGGACGCATGCTGGCCGTTGGCGTCCTCCAGACGGCGCTGCCGTGGGAAAACGCGCGCCGCTACTTCTACTGGCGCCTGCGCCGCCGCATGAGCGAGGTGGCCGCCATCCGCACCATCGGCGAGGCCAACCCGCTCCTCTCGGCGGCCGAGCAGCGCGCGTTGCTCGTGACGCTCGTCGGCGCACCCGAGGCCGACAACGACAAGAGCATCGCCGAGCACCTCGAGGCCTCGGCAGGGCGCCTGGCCGACGCCGTCAAGAAGCTGCGCGCCCAGCACCTGCTGGCCCAGATCTCGGCGCTCGACCCAGAGCTCCGCGCGCACATTGCCGCCTCGATCCAGCAGTGAGGACGCAAGCCCCGCCTCCGCTGCCACACGGGGATCAAGGGACCAGGACGATTGTTGTTTTCCGTTTCGCCCGCTCGCTTCTCCTGAGGTTGTCTTTCGCCGCCGCAGCTTCTCGCGGCACCTCTACGGGTTCTCCTCCTTCGCCTTCTTCCGCCGCATCGTCACCCGGGTTTCTTTCTGCTGCTCCATCTACACCGTCTTCGGGGATACAGGTCCGAGCAGCTTCGTCGGGCGTCCGCCCCTTGGCTTGCGCCGCCATTTCCTGGTCAGGTTGAGGGACCTGGCTAGGCCTGGACATGGCGTACCGAGTCCATCGAGGCACGATGGCCGAGGGCCGTCTCGGTCTGATGGTCGACACTTCCTCCTTCCTCCGTCTTGCTGCCTAGGCGCTTCGGAAGGCTGCGCTGCAAGTCATCCTACCCAAGCTCTCGCTGCTGAGGGGCAGTGAGGCCACGGTCAGGGACCGCAGCGTCGCCTTCCTCCGACCCTCTTCCCGGCCCCCCTTCCTTACCACCTTTCGCTTAGTTACCCGGGCTTCGCAGGCAGCTCTGCTCCTGTTTGCCCCTCCTTTAGCCTCGCATCCACACACATAGACACGATTTGCACGGCCCACCGATTGAGAAAAGAATCTGATGACCATCTACCAAAGCAACGAACGAGTGTGTGCACTCACGGCTGCCATCCCTCTCTGTCCACGGCCCTGGCTGGCTCGGGGCTCAGGGACGGTGCAGCGCGGGGCGAGGCGCAGCACACGACCGAGCAACCAAGGTGGAGGGAGGTGCGGCGAGGTTGAGCCAAACTTGATTCGACGCTCGGACCCATGATGTTGGCCCTATGGCCCTCCGCCTCCTCTCCCCCTCCATCTTCATCTCCACCTGCCACTCCCTCCATCTACACCATCTCCTGCGCAGCTCTAGACATCTCGCCCTCGCCCGCTCCAAGACGATAGACGATAGGCTACAAGACGACAGACGAAAGACGACGCCAAGATGGCGACTGCTCTATCTCGAGCCACGGTGGCAGAGGAGCTCGACTCGTGGACCCGGCTGGTGGACATGACGCTACAGGATGCTCGTGTGCTGACGTTGCAGCAGTACGTCGAGCTATACGGTGCCCAGCTCGACGTCGAAGACGTCGAAATGCCAGATGGACCCGCCACTGCCTCCGCCTCCGCTTCGGTATCCACGGCCGCAGCGGCGTCAACGTCGCTACCGCCACCGCAACGACAGAGTAGCAATGTCGAGCCCCACACCGAGACCAGCGGCGCGGTCCCAACCGTCGATGCGGAGGGTGAGACGCTCTCGTACGTCAAGGTCAAGGGGAGAGGCAAGACGAAACCCGTCCAGGTCGACTCGACCCGTTCGGCCGTTAGCCAACTCTTCGGTACGTGTTTGCTCCCCCGACACACACTCTCGCCCTTTCGCTTTTGGACTCCGACCTCATCGTCGAGCTCACCTGTCTCACGCCATTCCTTCGTCGCACCATGAACAGAACTGGCCTCGCATCTCGGCGTCCCGAGCCCCATCATGGATAGCAAGAGCCTCAACCTCTCGTGAGCCTCTCCTCTCCCGCGCCGGACCGGGCTCCCCACCAATGACCTCGCATGGAGCCAGCCCAACCCCCCCCATCTGCTGACCTCGCACCCGCCCTTCCCTCTTTCTCCTCGACTTCCGCACGCACGACCCAAAACAAATGACAGAAAGGGACCGGCGGGGCTCAAGCACTTTGTCACTCTTCGTTTCCTAGACCGGATCTGGGAGGATACACACGGCGCGACGTCCGTCAAGGCTGGAAGGGAGGCAGTCTGCGCCCTGGCGCTTCGCGACATCCTCGATGCCTCTCGACGCGAGGCTTAGAGCAGCGCGGGCGCGGGCACCGAACCGGTTCGACGTTCATTCGAGACTGCTTTTTTCGGCGGTGCGGGCACACCAACACCAGCGCGGCCAGTGCCGTCGAGCGGGCGAGCGCATTAGTACTGGCCTTGGCCGGCTCCTGCCGCGCCAGCCTGTCCGCCTGCGGCAGCCGCTGCGGCTTGCTGACGGTAGTACCTGTCGAGCGAGGGAGAGGGGCAAGAGCGTAGGTCCAAGCATCAGTCGACTGGTTCCAAAATCATCCGCGGCATCGCGTCGGAGGCGGCGAGGTACTCACTCTTCCCATTCCTTCGTGTAGTCTTGACCGGCAGCAGCCTGGCCCTGGCCCTCTGCGCCCGCCGGAGCGGCCGCAGCTGCAGCGCCGTTGCCAGCCGCAGCCTGCTGGGCATAGTAGGCGGCCCACTCCGCCGAGTAGTCGGGCTGCGCGCCAGCCTGGCCGCCAGCGGCAGCACCGCCGGGCGGTACGCTGTTGGCACCAGTAGCAGCCGGAGCCACTGGGCTGCCGTAGCCGGGCTGTTGGCCGTAGTAGCCGGCACCAGGCGGGCCCTGCTGAGGGCCACCGTAACCTTGGTTCGGGTAGCCGCCTCGTCCGCCGCCGCCGCCGTAGCCCCCGCGGAAGCCTCCGTCCGGTGGTCCGCCG